CAAGCTAAACTGCTCTCAAGCCAACCCAGCAAGAAAGGCCTTTCTAAATAGGCTTTGCAACATGCCCAGAGAATAAGCCAATACTGGAAATACAGGGCTTTATTGACTAAAAAAGAGCAACTTGAACTGTGCCCAGATCAGGATACTGTGCAGAATTTGCAACTCATGTAGAAATGCAAAGCTTTCTCTTAAAGACAAAAAGACTGAGCAAGAGTGCTTAGTTTAAGTTTCCTTAATAATTATTTTACTTATAAGCAAGTTGCATTATAAACCATTCTTGCCCTGGCTTTCACACCAAAGAGTGTATTGAATTCTTAAGAACAGCTTAGGCTCAAAACCGGTCTTTCATTAAGCCTGAAGTCTAAAGAAACAGGAAGTACAACGCAGCCCTGTTTGCGTGCAGCAGCTGTTATACTGAAAGGAATTTGTTGGTAGCTGGTTCCCAAAGTGAGAAGGCATCACCTCAATTTAAAAATCACCAGATCCCAAGGATCTGACCCTGCTCAAAGTGTAGTTGTGCCATAGACTTCAGTACAGCCAGAGCGTGCCCTGCTGAGAAGGCCCACACTGAAATGCCAATCACATGCTTTCATTTTTCACAGACATCCCTGCGGCTTTGGAAACTAAAACCACCCAAGCAACAAAGCAAAATATACTGACAAACCAAACTCCTCTCTAACAGGATGGAAACTTGAGATAATCAGAGGATTAGCAAGCTCCCAAGAGCAGCCCAGCAGGACACAGGAAAACCCAGTCTGTCATTTGGCAATGACTTTTCCAGCTAAAGCAACAAAAAATCCCTTTATACCAGGACACTTGCTTGTGACAGAAGTGTTGCATCTTGTGAGCAAATAACCGATGGACATCTGGCTAGTGAAGCTGGACGCTTGGCAGAGAAATGAACAAGTGTCCATCTCTGAAGGCAAAGGAAGAGAAACTGGGGCATTCAAAATGAAGAAGCTGCATTAGGGTTTTCAACATCTGTTGCTGAACACTGGAAAAATGCTGTTGCCACTGCCAAAAGTAAAATTAGCTTTGTAGGGCAGGGGAGTTATAAAAAAAAAAAATAAGTGCAAGCCGACGTCTGAAGTGCTGGGTGACCAACCTGCTGGGATTTAATCTCATTGCTATAATACATGAGCTACATGACCTTGGCTGAGCCACTTAGCTACTCAGTGCTTCATTTCCTCTCATCTGTACAGTGGGTGATATTTATTAAACCCTCCATAATGTGGAATCTCAATGTTTGCTCAATGTCTGCTTACGTGACACTTTTCCCTTTTATAACTGCCATCTTCCAAGGACCACAAAACATTCCTAAGTATTAATCACCAAACACTATTACATTGGTTATGTCTGTTATTATAGTGCTTGCAGACCAAGAGAGAACAAATAAGCACTGGATAGACATAGCTTAGCTCACAGACCCTGCCCCAAAGAATTTACAAATTGAACTAAACAAGATATACAATGTAAAGGCGTCGGGACAATATAATGGCAGCCAACTTTTATTTGTGTTGTTCAGTGGTGGGTTAATTAAGACAATATAAGTGGAAAGAAAAGGGGGAGAAGAACAAACATTAAAGGGAAATGGGTGAAAGGCACAGAGCAGAGGAGGAATGTAACAGGAGCAGGGCATTCATTTTTTTCATCATAACACATACCATTCAAGCCTTCAGGGCTGTTCACTTGCTCCTTTTCCTGTCTCTTCTATTAAGTAGTGGTCTCCCTTGTCTTACCTTCTTTTAGACTCTCTATCTTCCGTTGAACCAGGCTCTGGACAGGATGCGATGTCAGGCTCCCCTCTACGAGCAAGCATCAAGATCAAACGTGGTGGACCCCAGCAGCGGCACCAGCCCTACCAAGTCCTCTCTTCACTGCTGGATGACAGTGAAGCCAAAAGGAAAAGCAACAGAATGAAATAAATGTGTGTTAGTAATTTTTACAGCCCATTTGCCCATTAAAGATACAGTATCCTCATGCTTAACTGCAACATGCAGAATGAAGTGGTTAGGAAGCTGCAGAGCTGGCAGTAGCATTTCCTTGGCTGGATATTGCTAAGCCATTACTGCAAGGGCATGTCTTCTGTCTCGCTCAAAGTGTCACATGAAGAATAATTATATTTTTGCATCTGAAATACCAGATGCCACATGTTCCTAGAAGCTATCCCAGGAAGTGGATATCCCCAGGTTTGTTCAAAAAGGCACAAATCCTCCTCTTTTGCCTTCCTTCTCACATGTTATTTGGTTAAAATGCTGCTTAGACCTCATTCACTCCTACCCTAGCTCAAAGCAAAGCCCTATGCACTGTGATATAATAGTTTTTGGCATGTGGTCATTTTGAACCATGGTTGTTTTCTTGCTGATTTCCAGTTGAGGGTGCCACATTCAGTAGCTCTGCTAAGGCATTGTTACCTATCTTGCAAGGATTTCTGTTTTTAAAGAGTAGAACAAAAAATTAATAATGAATCACTTGACAAATTTTTCACTGTTTCTGTTTGTGAAACATCATAACAGATTGTGGCTTTTCTCAAATGTACATATTTGTTGTTCAAAGTCTTCCACAAATTATTCTACTTTATTCTTAGTCTTTGATTGAAATTCAAAATCTAGGATTTGAGCTGTGTTGAGTTGTGACTGTTTTATGATTGGAAGAGCGTACTCTTACCAGGTTTCTGGTGTGACTAATTATGGAATACTAAATTTATTTTCTCTGCATATTTAGGCATGCGGTCAAAATTCTTTTTGTAAACATTTGTAGCAGTAAGGCCGTTGAACAGAAGTTTTCATACCTAGTTTGCGTTTGCATCACTCAAACAGCGAAAAAAAATTCATTTAATGCTAGAAACAAATATTCACAGAAAATGTTTTGCCCCATTTAATACCATAAAGAGGAATTCACAGATTCACAGAAGTTTAGGGCTGGAAGGGACCTTGTCAGATCTTGGGGTCCAGCCCGCCTGCTCTAGGAATTGTTTGGATACAATTTTATTTAGCATTTATCATAAGTGCATTTATCCATTGATTGTCACCTAGCATCATATAAGGCAGTGGTTCTCAACTGATGTGAACTGAGTAGCACCCAATTTCAAAAACAATTTATATATGATTGTGCTTCCCTCCTTACCCAGGGACTGGGCAGTAGGATGGTTCAGATGGGGCAAGCCCATCTCCTCACATCGCACTTATCTCCTCACACCTCACTCACCCTTCAAAGAATCTGGCTGGACCCCAGTTGAGAATCACTGGTTATATGAATTAGACTCTTGCCAATGGTTTATCTTGTAATTGTGCAGTGGAAAGCTGTCATACCACCTTTTGCAAAAGTACTTAGTAGGGAAATCCAGTTTGATTGGAAATGTTTTGTCTTCTCTCAGGTGATGAATATGTTGCATCTGCTGTCTAAACACATAGGTCAGGTCAGTGTCATTCACGTAGATAACAATAGGTTTGTTTTTTAAACAGTGTTCAATCACCAGTCCAGGGCAATAGCAAATATTTTTGCTTTTGCTTAATGGTTTCTTAATTGCTTAATTGCTTTTGCTTAATGGTTTCTGTTGGCAAAGTCATTCATTCCCTAATACAATATATATCCATGTGATAAGAACCACCTTTAACATTACAATCAGTTGCTGCCTTTGTTGACACCCTCAGCAGAGAGGCCAACTACTCAACAGGCAATGCAGACTTAAGTATGCTCTTCCCACAAACGATGGTGCCCCCAAGGTCAGAATAGAGGCATGCAGAGCATTAGAAATTCGGGCTGTCACTGGACATATTTCTCGGATAAAATAAGGTGCTCAGTCTTTAGTGCCTTCAGTTTGACATTACTGGGGCACTACATTAACTTTGTGTGGATGTTTATGTTGTATTTCTTTGTAACGTGATCTCGAAACATCCAGATCAGGTTTATGAACACCACTGTATTGCTAGAAACAAAAGGTGAGATCTCAACCTGGAGTAATTAGAATTATAGCGGAGGTTCATTTGGCCTTATTAAAACAGGTGCAGTTGGAAGTCAGTAGCATTTATTTATAATAAACTAGTATTGTCATGAACTGAGAAAGTGCTCCTTGAAGAGAAATTGCTGAGTGCTGTACAATTAAGCGGTGGAGATGGACAAGAATTAAGTTGTACTGAAGGCTGTAATCCAAAGTGCTTCCTTAACCCAAGGAAGCACTGATTAGTAATTGTGACTAATACCTGGGGTTCATTTAATAGTCAAGGTGTGTAGTTGGATCCTCACTCAAGGTTTTTGTTGCACAAGCCAAGTGCAGCAAATTTCTGAGGATGGAAAATAAAATATGCTCAGGTGCCATCTTTTATTCCCTCTTTCCATGCAAAACCTTGAGAGCTTAACACTGTTTTAAACCTGAATGCATCATTTTTCCAAAAGGAAATATTTCACAGTCTTTAGTACATCTTTTCATACTGCATTCTGGACAAGTTCTCTTCTTGTGATGTCTGCAGGAGCCCAAAACAGGGAGCAAAAAACCCAGTCTAGAGAGAGTGAAACTCTTTGGCCTTGCCTATTAAGTCATTGACACAGGATAGGTCATACCCTAGTTAATTCTTCCAGGACAGTAAAATCATTCTCAAAATAGATCTCATTTGCAAGTCCCAAGGTGACTCTAACAAGTGTGCGCGCAAAATACTCACTGAGATCAAAATCTTTTAGAAAAAAAATGGCAGCCAGCTCTCATTCGAAATATAAAATACTAATAAAAACAGCTTATCTGGCTCCAGATGGCAGACAAACAAGTCCAGTAAACCAGCTATAACGTTATCCTCAATTCACTGTCTTGGGTGGCATTAAATTATTTAAAGGGAATGTATAGCATGAAGCCTCGTTGATGGGCAGCTACTTTTAGCACCCCCATTCCATATTTGCATTAAACATTTTTCTTGGAACAGTATCTCTTCCCCCTTACAAACAAAATGTTCACTCTATTTTTAGAGGTCGAGCAGTGGTTAAACATTTACAAGGGTATCTTGTTGCATCTTCCTTTATGCCTGGTACTGAGCATTGGAAAATTGGGTCCTGAAAGACCATTTTGATCAAAACATTTATGATGATCCTGCTGGTGTGAGCCGCAATTCATCTTATAAAGAAAGAGTTTTCCCAATAAAGAACTTCAGAGGCAAAATAAAAACTACTGCCTGATCTTTAAAAACGGAAATATCAAAATTCTGTTCCAATGATCACGTAGCTTTTGGATTTAATTTAGGGAAGGTAGAGAAATGCGATGAGGTGGATTATTAGCATTCTCTGGGATTCTAGAGTCTCTCAAGTTGAAAGGGATAATTTTCTTTCTAGAAATTAGTCTTCATGAAGTAAAAATAAATAGTGTATTAGGTTGATGAGTGGTCTCTCTAGTTTATTTGCATTTGACTAGGATTTTGGATTTTAATTAAAACAAATTAGTGGCAAGACAAAAGAAAATTTAATTGAAATTGTTTGCAGTTAATCCTACCAGATTGATTGTCAAAAGGCTGTTTCAGGTTCAAATTGCAACATCATTTTAATTACCAACTTGTGCAGATTTCTATAAAAAAAAGCCATGTAATTTTCTGCTCCCAACACTTCTTGTTTTAGTTAGATACCGATAGCTATCAGCGTGGTACTGTATCTTTAATCTGGGAAGCAATCAGCTCATATTTTGTGAGCATTGTTTTTGTACTGGGGTTTAATTCCTTTTTAACTGGTCAATAGTTATACGATATTGTTGTGCAGTCTCAGTTTAAATAAGTGTTATAAAGGTGAACATAACCTGATGTTTTAATTAATGATATTCATGATTAAACAAACCACTCCGATCCCATTTTGTTATCTTAGGCAGGATACTAAGATTCATTTTAGCTTGGGCATATGCATTTTGCCATCTCTTCATAACTTATGGGGATGGAATTTATTTCAGATGCGTGCTCATTTAGAAGTGTATTTTAATTGAAATGTTAGTGCTTTATCTTATGTGCATACTGTGCAATACCATAGTGTGTTCTTTTCCTTTGTTAAGACTTCTTTGGAACTTACTTAACGTATTTCTTTGAACTCCAATGCTTTTAAGCTTGGATTGATTCTGGTGATAGAAAAGCATTTCCGTTGCCTTGAGCTAACCAGAAGCAGTGGCTGCATATTGCCCGTTTGCACCCTGATTTTCACCAGCCAGCTGTACCTTCTTAGGAAACAGAGAATGCTTCGGTCCAGAGCATCCAAAAGGCACTTATTGTGAAGACTTGACACACATGCAGGAAAATTACAATTAGCTAGAAAGAAGGGCCATTTCTGCCCCTTTGCAGATAAAATGCAAGAGCAATTTACCATTGACCTTAATGGGAGCAGGAGCAGGCCTTGAAGTCAGGCCCAGATCCTTAGATGATAAAAATCAGCAAAACTCCAGTGAGGTCACTAGATTTATGACAATTTGCACAAGTGAAAGACCTGGATCAGAGACTCATTCCCACTCTTTAGAATTAATTAGGTTACTGTAGAAACTTACCTGCTACCGTGGCTGCGAAAAGACAAACAATCAGCTCTGGAATTATTTCTCAATGCACAAAGGTTCTTATTGACTTATTGGAAATTCCTCCTTTCCACAGTTATAATCTCACTATTATTTAAAGTGACATTTCATTCTGCTGTCTTAATAGTTTGGGTGGGTGGGGTCAAACACCGTATGGTTTATGCTATTGCTACCCAAGCAAATCAGGAAGGTGCTATACATGCACACACATTCGAAGCCATAGAAAAAATAGCTACCTTTTTTTCCCTCTAGTTATTTTACACGGTATTTTTTATTTATATCTGTGTGTTTTGTATGTGTGCAAGTGGTCCTGGCTTTTCTCACTGTAATAAGCTCTAAAATCTTTGGTTTTTTTAGAGGGCAGCATTACACAATATCTTGTGATCATGTATAATTGTTAAGAAAGCAATAGTAAATCTCTTCCGACCTGATGAACTCATTTATGGCAGGCATTAAGGTTTATCATCAAACCTCACTAATGGAGGGGAAAAAAACCAACCTGTTCACCCCACAGCTTGCATGGTACTTCTCTTTTTTCATAATTGCTATGTTATTGTTCATGGTATCTAGTTCTCTCTTTGCTATGGGTTTTGTTACTGTATATGGAATGTTTTGTATTCAGCATTTTTTTACAGAGCCAAGTGGGAACAATATTCAAGAGCCCACAAATACCAAAGACCTTTCATGTAATGCACTGAGAAATAAAGACATACTGTAAGTGAACGTGGTGTCCAGTTCCTTGGATTTAGGAAGTATTTAGCAGGTTTGAACATATTTCCTACCTAATTTTGGGAATCTCTCTCTCTTTTCTGACACTTCATCTTTCATTCAGTGTCTTTAGTACCACTCTAAGGTGTTCTCTCTTCTTATAAACAGGGATGTAAATGAGGGAACTTCTTAGCCCAGTTAGTTTCTTGAGGATCAAAAATACCAATTACCAACTCTATGCTGGTCACCTTTATTAGTGGTGAGCTGGAGGGGTGTTTCTGGACATTCTTGTTAACCAAGTTAACAAGATAACAGGTTAACCAATCTGTTTTCACTAAATTATCTCAGCTGGATGTAACTTTTATTCCTGAGGCTTATAGAAATAAGGTTGAAGAGCAAATGTATGTTTCTGGAATGCAACAGATTGTTTCTACTGCCAACTATTAGGAAGTGTTCTTGGATAAGTACACACCTAGGACTTTACACAGTCCTCACTCCTCATCCTGCATTTCTACCTGTGGTAATCACACTGCTATGCTACATTAACCACAATAGAGCACCCCATTTACACAAGCATACATGCAATATGTGGGCAAAGCAGCTCTACTCCCAGCGTAGCCAGCTAAAGGACGCTCATCCTAGTGTCTGGGAATCCCTTAGTGATGTCAAGCTGCTACGGATGCTCCTACACTTCCCACCATCCCTGCTGCTGACAGAGGATCCCCAAACTATCATCTGACAGACCAGAATGACTTGACCACCACAGAAAGGGCAGAGCCTAAGAGAATACAACAGTGCTTATAGGATGTGTCAGTATTTAATTTAAAATCATCTATAGCCCAAAGTTCCCAACAAGTTCTCTACCTCTCTGCTTCCTAGACAAGGGCCCGATTCCCTCTGCCCAGATCTCCCTAACTCAATAGCTATCTGCTTTTTCTCCAGCCCCTCTCTGTAGATGCTTTTGCCACCTTCCTTAGTCCAGTTTAACACTAGTTTGTATACCTTTGTACAAGCTGTAGTCACAATTGCAGTTTGCAGTGTAGACAACCTAAGTTACCTCACTCAACACTGGATTTGGAGGTTGTGACACCCTCCTTTGCAGCCATCCCTTCCAAGCGACATGGTGTGGTATTTGGCTACATAGCAGGCAATCTGTGCCATTTCTCCCAGTGCAGTTGCATCTGGTTAGAGCTGACTGGAGGGAACACATTTTTGTACCAGTTTTTTAAGGTTCAGCTTCATTGCAAGGTTCAATGAAGTGAAATAAAAAAATGGTCTGATTGTTGGTACAGCAGCCTGGGAGGTGGAGCCCCACATCCTATTCCCATCTCTGTCCTATTCAGAGCACAGGTCCTCTGACACTGCAGGCATTTAACCCTGGGTCTCTCTCATTCCAGACAGTGCCCAAGCCACAAGACTATAGTTTCTCTCATCCTTCCTACTGAAAGTGTCAGGAAAACAGCTTCATCTCTCCAGAAGTGTTATAGCACTGATTGAACAGAATAGCTCATGATTGACTCTGCTGTTTGCTTGGATTTGGGTTTGTGGTTTGGAAAAATAAATACTGTCAATCTGTGTGTGCCTTCTGACCTAATGGCACGTTTACATTGTTGATATCCAGATAAGTTGTTCATCCCCCACTAGTGTATGTAAAACAGAAACATGTCAATGACCACCAAGTCAAAGCCTTCCAACTCATTACATGGTTCCTATCCCCTGACACTGATATCAACATGAGGGAGGTCTCCTAATCTAACAAATCTCCTGCCCATGCATCACTACTATGCCTTACAGGTTGCATTTATTATCTTTCAGGACCCACCTCAGACTTAACTATATATGTCCTGGCAACACCAGGTAGTAAACCAAAGACTGCAGCGCTGGTGTCATCAGGAAGGCTTTGGCTGCCATGACCACAGCCTGCTCTTTGGTGAGAGAGGCAACGAGCTGCTGGGAAGGGATGGCCTCCACCTCTCTCCACTGGGGAGGAGGCTTTTCTCAGCAGGACTGGCTGACCTGCTCCACCGGGCTTTAAACTAAACCCACCGGGGAATGGGGGGACCACAACCATTGCTGGCCCACTGAGCAACCCTTGCAAAGCCAGAAGGCCAAGGCAGTTAAGGGAGCCCACCCCTGCCCCAGCCCTGGAGCAATCTGAAGGCAAGGACCCCCAAAGGGACACTTGCCTGCCTGTACACAAATGCTAGGAGCTTGGGGAATAAACAGGAGGAACTTGTCCTCCTGCTTAACACAAATAATTACAATGTCACAGGGATAATGGAGACCTGGTGGGACTCTAGCCATGACTGGGCCACAGGTATAGACAGCTATACCCTGTACAGGAGAGATTGAGTGGACAAAAGGGGCGGGGGTGTAGGTCTCTATGTCAGGGAAAGCTACGTGTCCCTGCAAGCTGACATTGGCGCCCAGGGTAGATGACCAGAAACCCTCTGGGTTAAAATCCGTGGGGAACATGGCACAGGGCACACAATGGTGGGAGCCTACTACAGACCTCCTACCCAGGATCAAGAGCTTGAACAGGAGTTCGCCAGGGAATTGGCTGAGACTGCATGCTCCTGGTGCATGGCTGAGGAGGCTCTTCTCAGCCAGCCTGGCTGACCTGCTGCACCGGGATTTAAACTAAGTCCACTGGGAAATGGGGGGACTACTGCCACTGCTGGCCCACTGAGCAACCCTTGCAAAGCCAGCAGGCCAAGGCACTTAAGGGAGCCCACCCATGCCCCAGCCCTGGAGCACTCTGTAGGCAAGGCAAGGGCCCCCAAGGGGACCCTTGCATGCCTGTACACAAATGCCAGGAGCTTGGGGAATAAACAGGAGGAACTTGTCCTGCTTAGCACTACTACTACTACTAAAAAATTACAATGTCTTAGGGATAACGGAGACCTGGTGGGACTCCACCCATGACTGGACCATGGGTATAAACAGCTATGCCCTGTACAGGAGAGATTGAGTAGACAAAAGGGGTGGGGGCATAGCTCTCTATGTCAAGGAGAGCTATGTGTCCCTGCAAGCCGACATTGGCAACCAGGGTGGATGGCTGGAGACCCTCTGGGTTAAAATCTGTGGGGAACACGGCACAGGGGACACAATGGGTGCAAGGTCTGTAGTAGACCTGCACCAAAGTCAAGAGCTTGACCAGGAGTTTGCCAGGGAATTGGCTGAGGCCTCATGCTCCAGATCCATGGTTGTCGTGGGAGACTTCAACTACCCAGACATTTTGTGGGAAGATCCCTCAGCTAAATCTGAGTGGTTGGAAAGCTTCCTCTCCTGCTTGGATGACTTCTATCTGACACAAGAGGTCTACAGGCCAACGAGAGGTAAAGCGCTGCTTGATCTGGTACTGGCAACTGGGACAACCTAATCAGTGACCTAATGATCGAAGGGAAGCTGGGTGACAGTGACCATGAGCTGATCACCTTCACCATCTGCCGTAAAGCTGGCAAGTCAGTCAGCAATACAGAAGTCCTTGACTTCAGGAAAGCTGACTTTGACAAGCTCAGGAGGCTTGTTGGTGAGGCCCTAAGGGACCACGACCCCAAGGGGAGGGCAGCTCAGGAAGAGTGGTTGCTCCTCAAGGGAGTGATCCTCGATGCACAAGCTAATGCTATTCTGTCACAGAGGAAGGGCAGCAAAAGGGCACAGCAGCCCCCTTGGCTCTCCAGGGAACTAGCGGACCTCCTGTGGCTAAAAAGAAAGGCCTACAAAGGATGAAGGACTGGATCCACCTCCAAGGAGGAATATTCTGCACTGGTCCGGACCTGCAGGGAGAGAACCAGGAAAGTCAAGGCTGCAATGAAACGCCAACTAGCTACAAGTATCAAGGACAATAAAAAGTCCTTTTTTTAGATATTTGGGGAGCCGGAGGAAAAGCAAAGGCAACATTGGACCCCTGCTAAACCAGATGGGACAACTGACAACCAATGCCCAGGAAAAAGCCAACCTATTAAATGGGTACTTTCATCAGTCCCACAGGATGCAATGCTCACTACAGGACAGGGAGGTCTGGGTGAGGGAGATCCCCTGCCCTCCATCAATGCTGACCTCATAAACATCTTGAGAGGCTGGATACCTTCAAGTCAGCCGGCCCTGACAATCTACACCCCAGGGTACTCAAGGAGCTGGCGAGCATCATAGCCCAGCTCCTGGCACGGATCTTCAAGAACTCCTGGCGTTCTGGTGAAGTGCCTGAAGATAGGAAGAAGGCCAATGTGGTACCTATCTTCAAGAAAAGGAGGAAAGTGGATCTGGCAAACTATAGGCCCATCAGCCTGACCTCTATCCTGGGGAAGGTCTTAGAAAAGATTATTAAAGAGGCCGTTCTCAACAGAATGGCCAACGGCAACATCCTGAGGGATAGTCAGCACGGGTTTGTTGCGGGTAGGTCTTGCTTGACCAGTCTTATCTCCTTTTACGACCAGGTGACCTATCACCTGGACAAGGGAGAAGAGATTGATGTCATATATCTTGACTTCAAAAAAGCCTTCAATCTGGTATCCTATGATCAGCTCTTGGCAAAACTGGCCAACTGTGGCCTCGGGTCCACCATGATCCATTGGCTGGGGAATTGGCTCTATGGTCGGACCCAGAGGGTGGTGATTGACGGAAGTCAATCGTCATGGTGCCCTGTGACCAGTGGGGTCCCCCAAGGCTCTGTCCTTGGACTTATATTGTTCAACA